ACTCCACACACAACAAGTGATTAGTCCACCCATGCTGCAGTTTTTGGACTTAATCTGAGCACAAGACCAGCACCAATTTCCAGAATAAACAAGATAACAGATCTGATTTTCAGACCTGTACGGAGTAGCAGTCCCAACCTACTAGTTTTCTCAGCAGGTCTACAAGCAATAATCACAAAGAGAGATCCTTACACACAAGGCATCAAGCCAACAAGTAGAGAAAACAGGTCATATGTGACCTACAACAGCCTTTCATAGGTACAAGATCACACGGTCCAAAACAAACAGAGGAAAAACCTCACAAGGGTGTGCCAACATTCAGTGGTTCAGGTCCATTCGTTTTCCTCTTGGTACACGACCAAGGGAAGAGAAGAAAAGAAAAGAAAAAAAATGGGGTGGTACCAGTTGCAGGTCTGATTCGAACAACCCAGATGTACTCCTCTATTCCGCCCAGATTCGGCAGCTTGGAGAAGACACTTGATCGCCCAGATTCAATGGCCACGCTCTGATACCATCTTGACAGTAAATCTGATTGAAGGTTACAGCAAAGAGAAGAGAAGAGAAGAGGAGAGAAGAGAAGAGAAGGAAGAAGTGTTGAGGCAATGGAACAGTGCTGGCGGCGCCAGTTTCATTATAATATATAGGGCGAAAAAATAAGAAGGGAAAKRSCCYTKKKSCCCTACTWAGTGATAGTACAATAATAGATTAAAATAAAAAAGGCTTTAATCAGCCAAACAGACCCTAACAAACATAAAATCAATTATTTTAACACTTTCAACATAGCTAAAATACAAAAAAGAATAAAGAAAACAAATGTCACATCCATAGCCTCTTGACATGGTCAAATAGGTCAGTTTCCACTATTTTGGGCTCATGCTTCAAGATGGGCCCTTTCAAAGTTTGCTAAAAGACAAGCTTGAGCCCATCCCATGAATAGGTCTAAATAGGTCATCTATTTCACCAATACACACTATGCTTCAAATACTTATCTTTGTTGCATAGGTTTTGATAAGAACATTAAAATTATTATTACTATTGTTTTTTTTTTTTTGTTATTGTGTTTTTATTATCGTTGTCATTTGAAACTACCACGTGCAACGCACATGTACATTTACTAGTACTGGATATGAACTTTGAAAACCTACTTTCACTCAAATAACCTGTCTTTTCCTTCTAATCCTTGTTAGATAAGATAATGTATGCCCTCAGCTCCAATCAGAATGATGTATTCTAACATTTATTAGTGAATAAAATCATAGCATTATTATTTCATGTATGTCTTGGTATGTTTCTATGTAATACCCTTTAAACTGGGCATTTATGAGACTTATGTTAGTTTAGAATGTTCTCATCTATTAGATAAACTTTGAGAGTTTATCTTGCCAAAGCTAACATTATTGTACTTCCGAATTAATGGAGCACTCTGTCTCAACTGCTAGGGTTAATAAACTTGGAGAGTTTGTCTTGCCAAGGCTGATATTATTGTACTACTGAATTGGTGGGGAACTCTTTCTCAACTGCTAGATCATTGAATCTGGACATCATATTTGATTGTCTAATCCTAGATCGAACCTAGGAGAAAATAATTTCTCCATGGGAATTTTAAATTCTCCATTCTTGGACTGATTAAAGATTTGATTTTTGCACCTGTTAACCCAGCAAGGTCCAGCCTTTTTGGGCTTAAATCAGTCCCTGCAATAATCCTTACCTATGTTACCAGGATACGGCAAGTAAAAAGCTGGATACAGTATTGGGTAGGTAATTTACAATAAAAATTGAAGTATCTGGCGCAATATGGAACCCTTGTACAGGTCTCGGTATCATAGATTCTTATGTTTTCACTTTCTTGACTTACAGATCTCTATCTTGTATACCCATTCAGTGAAGCCAAACTATTCATACTTGAGGAGATCCTTCAATCTGTAGTCATAAACCTAAAAATTTGGAAGAAATGGTAGAGATTTCTTTTTCTTTGAGAGAGATCCGGTTCCATGCTTTCTGGGTAGCTTCAAAGAATTGTCACAAAATGGTCTTTCTGAGAAAAAGAAAGGTCCTATGCTCATATTTGACGGACTTTGGCCAAATTATATTCAGTAGATTCTGCAAGATCATAGAAAACCATTTTGGCCCCTGAAGGAAAAAGGTGTTTCTGAGAAAAAGAAAGGTCTTATGCCTGTATTTCGATAGACTTAGGCCAAATTCAATTCAGTAGATTCTGCAAGATCTTAGAAAATCATTTTGGCCCCTGAAAAAAAAAAAGATAAGGAAAGGGGTGAAATTGAATTACCTTAGTGGATGATTTGGATGGGTTTGTTGGTCAAATTCAAATCTAAACCCACAAGCTCCAAGAAGGTAACTGATTCACCTAAACTACCAGACAGTGGACAAATACTTGGAGATGGTTGCTGCTCCATCAAAGTCAGTGATGTGTGCAGAGTAAGTAACCTGAACTCTAATTGGAGGAAAGTAGCAATGGTTCTGGCATCAATACATAATCCAAGGTGAGATAAGATGCCCCTTTTGGTAAAAAATCAGAGCGTTGTTTGATTCCAAATCATCAGACCTTTTCTCTCAATATGGTTCAGATTAAATGAAAAAGAAACTTAGAAACTGAGAATAGAAGATTGAACTAGAGATCACAGGTTAGAGGGAAAAGAAAGTATTCTATCTTGTTTGGAGGGGAGAAATATGCTTCAATTGGAATTAATGAAATGAACTTTTTACTGATCAAATAAAAAAAGGGAGGACTTGGATTAGGGATTGCATTTTCTCTATGCATTATAATGTCCTGGAGAATGGATCAGCTAGAGAATTCTCTCTTGCAAAGCAGGAATTAAGGCAGGGTGACCCTCCATCCCCTTGCTTTATACACCAATAGCTAATGTTTTCAATTGGCTCATTTCTAGAGCAAATAGGGTAGAGGTGCAACTAGTTCAGACTAGGCTAGGTTTAAGGTCAAACCCAATCTGCACAACTTAGGCCCATGTCAAACTAAAATTTTACATACTTGAGCTGAGCCAATGTTTTAAAACGCAGAGACATGGCGTGAGGCGTTCCACTACCTAAGGCGTGAGGCATAGTTCAGAACGCAAGAGGCATAAACCTCCCGAACACAAGGAGGCATAAGCCTCCTTAAGAGGAGGGGAGTTAGGAGGAGGAAGGGGAGGAGGATGAAAAAGAAGGGGGATCTCATTTTTTCTTTATTTTTAATAAAAATCTTTTATATTAAGAAGAATAAAGAAGCATAACATTAGTTGAAAGGCGAAGCCCCCCGGCCGAAAGGAAAGGGGGCAAATATCTTTTCTTCCCTTCCCTTTCCTTTTCTTTTCTATTCTCTTTTTTTCTTATCTTTCTTTTTCATTCCCTTCCCTTTTTTTTCTTTTTTCTTTTTTTTTGTCTTTTTATATAAGATGTGCATGAGGCGCATGCCTCTAGCACACCACATGAAAAAAGCACATGAGGCATACGCCTCTTGCACCTGAGGCATACGCCTCAGAGGTGTCAACACCTCTGGCATACGCCTCAGGGTGTTTTYCCACACCTTTTAAAACACTGAGCTGAGCTTAGGCTTAGGTCAAGCTCAAGTTGGTCAGCTAGGAATAGCCAAGATTTTTTTTGTACCAAATGGCCACTTTCAGACTCAAACCAATTTTCTCATGCTTATCAGCCAGAGATTTTACCATTGCACCAAGCAATGGCTCCTCACCAAAAAAAATATTAATAGAAAATAAAAAATGTCCCTTTATATGTAATGGATGGCCAATTTGTAACAATTCCAATATGGAGTTAGGAGACAAAACAGCTTGACAGCATAGACCTCACCCTATGTATTATAAAACATAGATTTACACCCAAACAAGAAATAAAGGCAGTTTTACACACCAATAAATGTATTCACAACCCAAAGACATCATATAAAAACTGGCTATACAAACTTTATAAATAGATTTCTAGTGTTGATATATTTTTCTAGTTTCCTCTTCAAGAGTTTGATTAATACTCTCACTGAAGAAAATCAATTAGAATGGAAACTTTTAATAAAAGAGAAACCAAACCCCCCAACATGATCCTCAGAAGTCAGAGCAAAAAGTCGTGACAAAACAGGAGAACACGTGGCAATACCTGTTGTGAAGTATCATATGACTTCTGACAAACGACTCTAGATTCTTCCTTCCTTAATTGCTCATCATAATCTTTCTTCTTTGTATAATCTGAAAGAACCTGAAAATTTATCACAGTTGCTTGTTACAACCAATTATCTACAATTCACACGAAGGCTAAGTTTGGAAGTGCACAAAAATAAGCGCTTATTCGAATAAGCACTTATTTTGGACTAGGATCACACCAATAAGCACTTATTTGCATTTGGGAAATAAGCCCAATAAATGCTTATTCTTCAGAATAAGAACTTATTCGAGAAGCCCAAATTTCAGTCTTATTTTTTAAGTGTTATTTCCTTTCTGACCTGTCTTGGCCACCATTCATTTTGAAAATACCTATACTACCCCTGTTTGAAATAAGTGCTTTTTCACCAAACACTAATGAGTGCTTATTAGAATAAACACTTATTTTTCAAACTCCGTTGAAGATGTACTTGATGTTGTGCAATTTTCAATTTAGACAAAATAAAACATGGAATACAAAATTAAGTAGGCGTAAACTTTTATTTCTTGTGCAAATAAACATACCTCATATGCGCACTGAAGTTTTTTGAATGACTCACTTGCTAATGGACTTCCCATATTTTTATCAGGATGCACAAGCATGGCCTAGGCAGAAAAAGAAATAGATATCATAATTGGATAGAAAATGCCGGAAAGTACCATTAGACAAATATGACGTGCTACTCATTAACATGCTATACTATTATACACAACCAACCGTTTCTTTTGGAGGGTGAAAAAAAGAAAAATGAAAAGTAAAAAAAAAAAAAAAAAACTAGCTAGCAACGTAGCCAAGCAAGGGGTGAATAGGGGTCAATTACTCTAGGCTACACTGTAATTTATCTTTTTTTGAGGCAGCATCCCGTGCCTCATGGGAAATCTAAATGTTGTATCAGTTGTAAATCCATCTTAAAAAATATTTAATGAAATGCTTTATTATTCATAAAAAGTACATGCAATTTGCTGCAGGGGGTAAAAATTTCCGCCTGGTCAAATGAGATAAGTTTTGTAGACCCAAAGGATGACGAGGATTGGGGTTTAGAAGGGTGAGACTATTTAACAAAGCCTTACTGGGGAAGTGGTTATGGAGATTTGGGTCAAATAAGGAGGAAAATTCTTTATGGAGGGTGGTGGTGGGTAAATATGGGGTGGTGAGATTTGGATGGGAATCAAGGGAGGTTAGTTCATCATACGGGATGAGTGTTTGGGGATGGAGATAGATTAAGATTTTGGGAGGATGACTGATGTGGGGTGGGAAGATTATGTGAGGTTTGACCAAGAGTCCAAGATTCTAGTGTCCAAGATTCAGAAGACCACCGCTTGACAAGGGTAGAGGAGTTGGGAAGGGTGAAGATCTCAGCCCAGTCTAAGGATGAGTCATGGTGGAAAGAGTGCTCAAATGGAAAGTTTACGTTAAATCTTATTTATTCAACTTTGTGCAGGAACCAAATGGACTATGATCAAATTGTTGGGGAATGGGGTAATCTGGTGCCCCCAAGGTGGAAGCTTTTGCTTGGCTGATAGCTATGGACAATGTGTTGATACTGACTCATTTGAAGTCAAGGGACTTCAGCATGGCCAGCATGGGTTACCTGCATAGAGAAGAAGAGGAATCAGTCAGCCATCTTCTTTTCATGCAAAATTACTGGTTTCTTGTGGACCCTTTTCACGAAATTATTTGGGGTTAGAAATTTTCAGACAATGACACCAGAAATTTTTTCCTCATGGCCAAGAATCAGAGGAGGTAAGATGGCCAGAATAATCTGGAACTGTGGAATATTATGGAAAGAAAGGAACAGAAGACTTTTTGAAGACAAGGAATGGAAGCTCGACAAGTTGGTGGCAGCTGTTGGCAGATCTGTTGCAGATTGGGTCTTGATATTGCCTGACTTTTCTCAGGTCAAGAGAGCAGACTAGGGAAAAGCTTATGGGAGGTGGTGTGCTGGGGTATCAACATTGTAATTTAGATACTTGAAGATATGTAGTTTTGTACTTTTTGATGTTGTTAGGTGTTTCTTAAATACCTACCCAGATTGTATACTCATTTTCTTTTAATGAAATTTTACCTTTGATAGAGTTCAGATCTGTACAGGTTTCAGTTTCAGAATAATAGAAAATAAGAATGAAAGAAGAGAGAGAGAGAGAGAGAAGAGGAGGAGATAGAAGAAAAGACTGCATCAAAGTAGAGAAAACTAATCTCTCTAGTCGGAGAGATTTATTTATAGTTTTCTAACTAGAAGCACAATGACTATTGTGCCCCCACTTAAGTGTGGGACACATCACTTAACTTAGAATATAACAGTAATTACATCAAGCATATAATATATAGTAAAATGGCTAAACTAGCCCTTCTCTCTCACAAAGTGGCAATAAACTTCTATATGTTTTGTTCTTTCATGAAAAACAGGATTAGAAGAGATATGAACTACAACTTGGTTATCACAATATAGCTTCGTAGGAGTGTCAATCGAGTACCCATTTACTCTAAGAGATTCTTCAACCACACTAATTCACATGTTGTGTGTGCTATAGCTCTATATTCAGCTTTTGCACTGCTTCTTGCTACCACTATCTGCTTCTAACTCTTCCATGTCACCAAATTGCCCCCAAGAAAAGTGCAATACCGTGTACTAGACCTTCTGTTAGATATGGAGCCAACCCAATCAGCACCAGTGTATCCCTCTATCTCAAGGCTTCCTCCGCTTTTATATAACAAGCCACGGTTTGGAGCTCCCTTCAAGTACCGTACAATCCTTAGAACTGCATCCCAATGTGGGATTCGAGGGTTCTGCATAAACTGACTCACCACACTAACCGCAAATGAACGGGCCGAGTAATGGCATGGTGGTTCAACTTACTCAACAACCTCCCATACCTTCCAGGATCTTCAAATTCCTCACCTGCATCACTACTCAACTTGACATTTGGTTCCATGGGTGTTTCAACTAGTTTGGCACCCAACAACCTTGTCTCCTCTAGTAGATCAAGGAAATATTTCCTCAGGCAAAAATTAATACCATGCTTGGACCTTGCTACCTCTATCCCTAAGAAATATCTTAATTTACCAAAGTCCTTTGTCAGGAAGTGATCATGCAAAAAGGTCTTTAACCTATCAATCCCCAACCTGTCACTACTAGTAAAAACAATATCGTCTACATATACCACCAATAAAATCTTCACAGCACCAAAATCATAGTTGAATACTAAACGGTCGACCTAACACTGTTTCATGCCAAATTTCTTCACCACTTCACTAAATCTACCAAACCATGCACGAGGAGACCGTTTAAGTCCATAAATAGCCTTCTTGAGTCTACACACCTTACCATCCTCCCCCTGAGAAACAAACCCTAATGGTTGATCCATATACACCACCTCAAGAAGATCACCATGTACAAAGGCATTCTTGATATCAAGCTGAAACAAAAGCCAATAAATAGCAGCTAGAGAAATCAAAACACGAATGAAATCAATCTTGGCAAAAAGAGAGAAAGTCTCTATGTAGAGTCAATGTCATATAGCTAGGAATAACATTTAGCAACCAACCGAGCTTTCAACCGCTCAACACTACCATCAAGTAAATACTTGATAGGGTATACCCACTTACATCCTACAGCATGCTTACCAGGAGGGGACATTCAGCAGGAAGTTGCACCGGAGGCGAAGACTTAGTCGCGGTTGAAACAAGAGGAATGGGGTCCTTAACAATAACTGGAAGCGGAAGAGGAGAAAAGGCATCCAACCTAGAAAAAAACGGAACAGACTCAAAGAACGTAACATCTGAACACACAAAGCAATGTCGAGAAGTGGGATTATAACACTTATACCCTTAGAGTAGCCAAGGAAGACACACTTAGTAGATTGTGCATCTAATTTGTCCATTCCAAGTCCAAGATATGAACAAAACACACACACCCAAAAACCCTAGGAGTGAGAGGAAAAGGAGATGATGTGGAAAACAAAACTGAGGAGAGAATGACCTTCAAGGAAGGACATAGGCATTCGATTAATAAGGAAGCAAGATGTAAGCACATCATCACTTCAAATAAGTTTAGGTACATTCATATGATGCAAATGGGACTGAGAAGTTTGCAAGAAGTGGCAGTTCTTTCTTTCAGCTACCCAATTTTGCTGAGGGATGCAAGTGCAAGAGGTTTGGTGAATAATACCATGTTCCAAATTTGCTAAAAAGGTGTATAAAAATATTCACAACCATTATTAGAACCAAGGATTTTAATGTGTACACCAAATTGAGTGTGAATTTCAACATGAAACTTTTGGAAAATAGAGAATAATTCACTCCTTTCTTTCATAAGAAAGTCATGTCATCAGTGAAGGATTTTAATATGTACACCAAATTGAGTGTGAATTTCAGCATGAAACTTTTGGGAAATAGAGAATAATTCATTCCTTTCTTTCATAAGATAAAGGCATGTCATCCTTGAATAATCATCGACAAAAATTACAAAGTACTTGTAACCATTGTATAACACTTTTATTTGAACCCCAAGTGTCTGAATGGACCAAAGAAAAATGAATCAACAGATGACTATACCCTACGACTAAAGGGAACACAATCATGTTTCCCATACTAACACAACTCACAATCCAAAGTAGAAAGACGGCTCAATGCTGGAACAAGTAACTTAAGTGCTTTAAGAGACAAATGACCAAGTCTGCAATCCCACTGTAGAGGAGAAAGAGGCGACTGAAGAGATGTTGATGAACCACCACCATCAAGGTAACACAGTCCACCAACTTCATGCCCTCCACGGCTTCACCAATCTTCATCTCTGTCTTGAGATCTTGAGAAAACACAAGAGGGTTAAAATGCAATAAAGCAATTAAGAGACTTGGTCAATTTACTAACAGAGTCGATGATTAAAACTTAAAAGGGAATTTGGGAACATACAAAACTTAAGACGAAGATAGTAAACCAGTGTTAACATTACCAATACCACATATGGAAGAGATGGAGCCATTATCAAGTGTAATAGTGTGGATTGTAGAGGACGAAGAAAGAAAAGTAAACACACTTGGAGCCCCAATCAAATGATCGTAGTGATTTAAAAGGCGTGCCTAGGCACACAGGCGAGGCGCATTTTGGGTATGTGCCTCGCCCTAGTCCTAGGTGTGTCCCTTTCAAAAGGTGCACGCCTGGTGTACGTAGGCATGCACTTGATGGGCCTTGTGCCTCAACCCAGGCATGCACCTTTTTAAAATTTTGCGCTTTTTGGTTTTTTTTTAGTCTGACAGTTGGGTTGGGCGCTCCACCCCCGGACCCCCAACCACACCCGTCGAGGCAAGCTTCGAGAACCCCCCTATTTGCTAATGTTGTTCATTCATTTCTTTTGAATTTTTTTATTTTCTGACTTATTTTTTATTTTTTAGCTTTTTTTGTAGTTTTGTGCCTTGCGCCTCAGGTGCAAATTGGCCCTTGTGCTTTTAAAACACTGAATGATCGGAAGCCCAGAGTCAATGATCCAATGAGAGTGTTTGGATGCCAAACAAGCCATACCTGAGTGGGCAAGCATAGTTATTTTCTGCTGAGAAGTAGCCTAAAGAAACCACTCATACTCRTCACGTGGAACACTCATCATCTCTTTCTCGGAAGCATCTGTAGATGTAGGAGGTGTTTGATCAGCTTGCTGAATTTCTTGTCTCATACCACCACCACCACTAGCCACTACATGATTTGCCTAGGTTGAAGGTGGGCTACCATTGCGTAGTGTGTACACTTCTACAGACCACCATTACATCCTCTACCACGAGCTCCCCCTGAATCTCAACCTCCAATATGCCCACCACCATGATTGTACATGGGACCACTACCACCACCAAGACCTGGTTGAATTCCCCAAACTCCTCTACTACCACAACCTCCCCCTCTTGTCACTTCAAAAGTAAACCTATTAGATATGGTAGAGTTCTTTGTAGGTCCAACCAAAATCCTCCTGAGACGAGCAAACACTTCCTCAAGAGAGGGAATGGCAAACCCACTTAGTATCTATGCTCTCACCGATTCATATTTAGACTTCAATCCCATTAAAAATTTGGAATTCAAACATTTAGGTATATGCATATGATGCAAAAAGGAATCGAGCAGTTTCCAAGAGGTGGCAGATCTTTCTTTCAACTACCCCATTTTGTCAAGAGGTGTAAGTGCAAGAGGTTTTATGAATAATACCATGTTGTTCCAAATATTGTTGAAAAGGTGTATAAAAATATTCACGGTCATTATCAGAACAAAGGATTTTAATATGTACAACAAATTGAGTGCGAATTCCAGCATGAAACTTTTAGAAAATAGAGAATAATTCACTCCTTTTTTTCATAAAATAAAGCCATGGAATCCTTGAATAATCATCAAAACAAATTACAAAGTACTCCTCAAGACTAGCATAGTACTCGTCAAGACTTTGATTACCCTGTTGCAAATTAAAATACTCTTAGTAGAGCTGGTATACTGTTATGGGCCCGCGAATAGGATCTCATCACAGGTCGGTTACCGGGGAAAACCTCTTGTTTTCCCTTGTTTCTCCCTTTTCTCGAGGAACCTATCTTTAGTGCCTTAATGGTGATTTGTTAAAGAGATTACCAACTCTCCTCTGCTCTTTCTTGACTGAAATTCTGGATGGATTTATTGAATAACATCAGTCTTAAATAGGAATTACAAGAGTCCTTCTTAAGGAAACTTTCTAAAAAAGAACTTTCTAAAAAACATTAAGAGACTTTCTAAAAATAGACTTTCTAAAAACATTAAGAAACTTTCTAAAAGGAAACTTTCTAAAAGACCTAGGAAATAATAATGCTATTGCCTAATTAATAGGAACACTGAATCTAGCTAAGAGATAAGATAGGAACACTGAATCTAGCTAAGAGATAAGATAGGAACACTGGATCTAGATAAGATAAGATAGGAACACTGAATCTAAAGCCCATTACTGCTGCTGTCTGCAGCTGTATTCCTTTCCAACTAAAGCATCCACAATATATACTCTAGTTGTATTGTCCTGTCTTGAATAAAGCTTCTTTGCATGATTCCAAAACTCCATGGTTGTGTCTAAGAACATGAAATTCACACTAATCTTAGGTTCCATGCTATTCCATAACCAAGTCATAATTTGTGCATCTTCTTGTTCCCAATCATTGTACTCCTAAGAATCAACTGAGGGTTTTATCTTCTTTCACATGCTTCGCCTTTTTTTTAGCTCTGAGAAAATCTTGAATAGATTTAGCCTAATGTGCATAATTCTCTTCGTTCAATTTAATAGAGAGGTCATCTGCACATTCAAGTAATCAGGGGGAATTATAACACTGGACTTGTGTTCATTGACATCTCCAATGGCTGCCATAAAAAAAAATATATATATATATATATATATATATATTTTTTTTTCTTCTCACACTAATATGTTACACAACCTTACTAACTGATCCCCACACTGCACACCTACAGCTAACTACTGTTGAAACATCTACTGTCACAGGTTTTAGCAATGATAATCACCACTGTTCTCCACTTTTGACACCACAAAAAATCACCCAAATACACCTCACGCACATGATACTAGGTCTGCAACACATCATAAATTGCTTCCCAATATAATCTCATCCAACCCACCTATCTGAACCACACAAGTCAGACTTAAACCTGTCAGACCACTAAACTACTGTGAACAGCCCTCTTCGATCCATCGATTAGAGGGTTTTCTACCAACCACCTAAAACCACCACAACACCAACCTGAGGCATTAAAACTTCCAGAAACAAAAAACGATCATCCTTCTCAGCCTTTTTGTCAAACTCCAAGTGACTAAGAGAAAACCGTAAAATACTAGATTGGGAGGCACAGAAAACTGGACAGATCTGAACTGATTTATAACAGCTCTGATACTATGATAGAGTTCAGATCTGTACAGGATTCAATTCAGTGTCAGAATAATAGAAAATAAGAATGAAAGGAGAAAGAGAGAGAGAGGAGAAGAGAAGAGAAGAGGTAGAAGAAAAGACTGGATCGAACTAGAGAAAACTAATCTCTCTAGTTGGCCAGATTTGTTTATAGTTTTCTAACTAGAAGTACAATGACTATTGTGCCCCCACTAGTGTGGGACTCATCACTTAACTTAGAATATAACAGTAATTACATCAAGCATATAACATAAAGTAAAATGACTAAACTAACCCTGTACAGCCGACTCTAACAACCTTTACTTATCAAAAAAAAGCATGCAATTTGCTGCAGGTTGTACATTTCACCATTTCATTGCTAACCATATGTCTAATGCACCCACTGAAAAATAAAAGAATTAAGGCATCCATCTGTAAAATCAAAAGAGTGACATCAAAAAAAAGCTAGACTTTCTACCATGAATACAATTTAAAATCTTGATTAACAACATAATAGAAAAAGAGAATCCCACAATCCAATACAACAGCAATGAGCTGGCAACTCTACATACTCCTCTTAACTCTTAAAACAAGGATTTTTCAATAGCCCCTAGGGATACAGCCCAAATTTATCCTACTTTACCCATCCCTTACTAATGCATTCGCATTTGTAAATGTAACAAAGCTGCATACACACATTGGCCTGGCATTTGATGGGTCCTACCAAGATCTGACATCATGACCATTTAAATAATTGAAATGCCTCAAGTACAATAAGCATGCATACATAAGGTTTAGAATAAGTGTGTTCGGCATTGCCATGTTGGAAGAAAATGAATTAAGACCACCCAATCTAGTAGATACTGGAAAATTAGGGTACTCTCAAGCGGTAAACAGGCATACACTCAACAAAAATGAGCATACCTTTCTACGGTACTCCTTTTTCAATAATAAAGCATCAATGCTCTTGTGACGAGGAAAGCCCAATGCTTCATAGTGATCCGTGCTATTCAGAATTCTCTTCATCTCATCCACTGAACTTGTGTCTACCATGGCCACCCGGCTGGTGGAAGATTCTTTGCATGTATTCACAAAACTCGAAGCAGTAGACTGTTTACTGGATGATTTGCAAGAATGCAAATCTTCAGCTTCTCCAGTTGGCACAGAATGCTCAGAATCTGTTGAAAAGTTATCATCTCCTATGATGGGTTCTGATTCTTTATGCTCTTCAAAATTTGCACCATCACTAGCATTGTCACATCCTTTGAGCAAGTAATTGAAGACATCATTTGAAAGGAAGGCAAGATTTATTGAAAGGAAAACTCCAAGCCATCCAACACGAACTTTAACACAATAAAAAGCATACAAAGTTGCCATGAAGACCACCACCCGAGCATGGTTTAGGGAGAACAAATAACCTGCATTTCATGGTAGAGTATTAACAGATTTCAGCATCTGAAGAAAAACATTAATAGAAGGCAAAATAAATCAATGAGACAAGGAGAAGGGACTGTTTGGATCTTCTTTATTTTCAATCAATATTAGCATGCATTTTTTTTTTGAAAAAAGGTAGAGTATATTTATAATAAAATCAAAAAGAAGTATGCATGGTCCTCTGTACAAAGAGTTTCTGTACATTATAAACACCTCTTAAGGACCCCCAAAAAAATTCTACAGGTTGACAGCCATCTTCTAATTGTTGATACAATTAGAAGATGGTTGTCAACCTGTAGAATGATTACCACCTCCTATAGATATGGATTTTGCTCAAAAATTCAGCAATTCCTTTAAAGCCTGGTTTGCAATATCGGCAATATACAGTGAAATTTCCGGTGTAAGGGTTGTGCTTGGAGAATATACAGTGGGGTAAGGAGAACCGTTGTGTAAGGGTTGTGCTTGGAGAATGGAACGGGAGGAGAGAAACTTCCGGTCAGTGGAGAAGTGGAGGTTAGAGCTGGGCATTGAAGCTAAACACTTTCTGTTCGAACAGGGAGGGACATGAGGTAAGGCTTATCTGAAAATCAGGGAAGGTAGTAGGGCCACGCTACTATTACCAGAGGAGGCTTGCTACTGGCTGAAAGGCTTTGTTGATGGAACAGTAAACTCTATCAAGGTAGAAGGGTGGGAAAACTCAGTGGTATGTTGTGGGAAAAGTTATGAATCGGTTCTGAGAAGGAATGAGAGAGGATGGTTTATCATGGTAACAGAATACTTTGGTACTAACAAGAAACAAGTATTATGCATACCGGAAGGTCTGAGGGGTCAAGGCTGGACTTTCTTCGCCAATAATATCCAGGCCTTTCTCTTGGAATTTGAAAGGAAGGCTGTAGGAAGATTGGATAACAGATCGGTTGAAGATGCTCCATTAAGCTGTGGTACCCCGGAGCAGAGCAAGAAGCAAAGTCCCTGCTGTCAAGAGACTTTGATAGCAAGTTCATTCGGTATCCGAAAGTTAGCACTTGAAGAAGGGAGAGGCAAATGGGAACACAGAATGGTGTTAATGGCTGATAAGGTTGTAAGGGATTGGACGAAAGTGCTAGATGCAGTTGCAGAAAGACTGGGTTTAGAAGGTGATGCAGTAGTTCTACCGTTTGATGAGAAGAAAGCCATCCTCGATACAGGTGATGAAAAACTGAGCTTCAATAGTCCAAGTAGCTGGAAGACTGATACAAATACAAAAATGGGTTCCGTTATGCAACGAAGTTGTGCTAAAGGAATGCAACTTCTGGATCAAACTCTTAGGACTCCCTTTTAATCTCTGGAATGAACAGACCTTAGGAAGAATCGCTAGAGCCCTAGGGGGTGTTCTTCTAGAGCTGAACTTGAGAAGCTTGCGTGCTGCGGAGATCAGAGTTGCAGGGCTGAAGCCGGAGAGCTTGCCTCGTGCTCTTGAAATTCTTTCAGATGGAGCCTCGTATAAGGTTTGGCTGGCGACGGAAGTTGAGGCGTCTCTTTGGGGGAGACGACCAGAGGTAGGGGATGATGTGGCAGCGGAATGGAGCACACGTGGCACCCAAGGAGTAGAGAAGCAACCTGCTGCGCGTGACAGAGTAATTAGAGAAAATGAACAGTCGCAGGGTTTTTCCACCTCTCGAAGCCTTTCTTTAAAAGCAATTAATTCAATTTTTTTTGAATTAAATTCAAGAGTTTTAGGTGGCCCTTCCTATGCTGATGTGGCCAGAAGAGATTGTAACTCGGCACGTCTTAACAGGGCCACCACTTCTGAACCGGGTGTAAGATTGGCCAAGCCATCTTTTGGTCCACTCACCACTTGTAGTGGGCCACGTGACGACTTAAGTCATCACGTGGGGCGGGACAAGCTCTATTCGACTGTAGACGGAAAGGTCCGTCTATCTTCTTCCAGAAAAGAAGAGCCCGATCTGTTTGCTTCTCAGGGCTATCAGAAATCGCGAACAGGCGGAGGAAGGCGCCCTAAGCTGGAATCTTCGTCTGGACTGTGGAGAGCAGGCTTCCAGTGTAGAAGATCGCCCAAACCCATGTACAGTAGGGGTAAAATAGAAGAGAGAGAGGAGGAAGATAGAGGTTGAATAAGTTGCAGCACGGAGAGTGATGAAGAGGGGATTTCAGATGACTGTGCAAGCTTGGATGGCTCTACACAGGAAGATTCTCAGGCAGGACAGATCAGAGATGAGTTAAACTTAGAGCAGCTCTTTCTTGAAAATCCGATGGGTGTACAGAAGACAGATTTGGAGACTCTGGTAAACTTGAACAGGGTAGACCAAAGCTCAATTTCGGACAAGCCTCTACCAAGGTTCGGCCCCTTGCAAGTAGCCGTTAAGGTGGTAGGTCATGCTTTCCCAGATCTGAACAAGAGTACATCACAGAGAGGTGGACAACCGGGTAGAGAAAAAGGTATTTGTGTAAACCAGTTGATGGGGAATAGTTCCCTCCAACCCAAGGAGACGGAAAGCTCCATTTGTTCTTTACAGGGTTTGAAAACCAACCACCCTCCTCTGCCCCTTTCCTACAACCCTCAGTTGGAACCAGGTAACTCTAACAACTCTGTCAATTCAGTTTGTGCTACTGATGAGTGTTCTGTGTCCATTGTTCCAAATTCCTTTTCCAACCAAGAGTCAAAGGCCCATGGACAGGAAGCCGCAATGAGATTACAAGGGGAGGAGGGGGAGACAATAGTAGGATTACAGGGCAGGGATAAAAGGATATGGGGTATCATTGAGAGGATAATGGGTGAAGTGGAGAGGAATGATTTGCAAAGGGAGGGTACAAATGGGACAGAAAGAGTGCCTAGTGGAGAGGAAGAGAAAAGGAATGAGGAGAGGGGTAGACGTGGAGAGCTTGGAAAGCTAGATAAAAAGGAGAATTGTAGGGAAGATTCAGTGGCAGAATTTATGGGAAAGCTGGGGCGTAAACTGAAGAACCCAAATGATTTAAAAGCAATTCTACGAAAAAAGGAGGATAGAAAGTTCAAGAAAAGAAAATTGAGTGAGGTTGAGAGATTAAGAAGAGATACTGAGGGGGATAAGAAGTTTGGGGCCAGAGGGGACAGAAGGAAAGGGCCAAAGTAGATTTTGGTGGTGATAGGGTAGATTCTTGCAAAATTGTGATGAGAATCATAAGTTGGAATGTGAGGGGGCTAGGTAGTGCTAGAAAGAGAGCAACAATCAAAGAGGTGTTTAAGAAGTTCAATCCAGATGTGGTATTACTTTAGGAATCCAAAAGAATGGATTTTGACTGTAGGTGGGCGAGAAGTGTCTGGAGAGCTAAGGGAATTAAGTGGGCGGCTGCTCCGTCGTGGGGGTCCTCAGGTGGTATTGTGACTTTGTGGAAAGAAGATGTGCTTATAGGACTAGAGGAGTTGATAGGGGATCATTCTGTTTCTTTGAAGTTTAGGCAGGTGGAAGATGGTTTCGAATGGGTTCTAACAAATGTTTATGGGCCCAATGACTATAGGCAGAGAAAGAAACTGTGAGAAGAGTTGAGTGATATTAGGGGCCTTTGGGAAGGACCATGGTGTCTAGGAGGGGATTTTAATGTAGTGAGACTCATAGAGGAAACCAACAACCCTAGACAGAGAGTCACAACAAGTATGAGGAGCTTCAATCAGTTTGTGGATTCGTTTGAGCTTAAAGAACTCCCAATGCTTAACAATACCTTCACCTGGTCCAACCTCCAATCAAGCCCAATTTGCACTAAGCTGGACAGGTTTCTCTTTTCTACAGATTGGGAGGCACATTGGGGAACTTAACATCTAGGGTGCTCCCGAGGCTTACCTCAGACCACTGGCCTATAGTAATGTGTAAGGAGGATTTGAGAGGTGATGGTCCTGCCCCGTTTAGGTTTGAAAACATGTGGTTCACCCACCCGGGCTTCATTGAGAAAATCAAGGAATGGTGGCAGCACTATAATCCGCCAGTACAATGGGAAGGAATGAGGTTCCATAAAAAGCTTCAGTTCTTAAAATCCCAAAYAAAGGAGTGKAACARGTTGGAGTTTGGGAGAGTTGAGGAAAGGAAACAGGTGTTGGTAGAGTAAATAGAAGAGCTGGATAGGAAGGAAGGAAGGGGTCTTTTGGGTGAAGAAGATAGAGAAAGAAGATGGAGTGTAAGGAAAAGCAATTGGAGGATCTTTTGGTTAAGGAGGAAATAAGCTGGAGGCAGAAATCTAGGTGTAAGTGGTTGAAGGAGGGGGATAGAAACACCGGGTTCTTTCACTCAGTGGTAAACGGTAGAAGGAAGAATTTCATTTCAAAGTTGGAAGTCGAAGGAACAATATTTCCCACCTGGTAGAAATAGCAAAAACCTTTGTTGACCATTTCAAATCTATTTTCAGAAGACCTTTAAATGAAAGGATCTGGTTAGAGGGTTTAGATTGGCCGACTCTAAGTCCAGAAAACAGAGAGTAGTTAGAAAAGAGATTTGATTTGGAGGAGATAAAGGAAGCAATCTTTTCAATGGATAGAACAAAAGCTCCAGGTTCGAACGGGTTCACAATGGCTTTTTATCAAGATTGTTGGGGTATTGTGGAGGAAGATATTGGGTCAATGTTTGAGGAGTTCCACAGAAGGGGAATAATCAACCCAGGCTTGAACTCCACTTTCATTGCTCTGGTTCTTAAGAAGAAAGAGGCTTCACAACCAAGGGACTTCAGACCTATTAGTTTGGTGAACAGTTTGTACAAAATAATCGCAAAAGTGTTGTCTCTAAGGTTAAAGAAGGTTCTTCCTTCTATAATTGCACCTAACCAAGGTGCTTTTGTGATGGGAAGACAAATTACTGATCAAATCTTGATTGCAAATGAGAGTCTGGAGAGTTTTAGGAAATCCAAGAAGAAAGAAGTGGTGTGTAAACTGGACTTGGAGAAGGCTTATGACTTGGTTGATTGGTCCTTCTTGTTGGAGGTGTTGAAAAGTTTTGGCTTTGTAGACAGTTGGTGTAAT